ACCGAGCCAATGAAACCTTTGGGATAACCGTTCAACTGAAGATCGTGTCTCAGGTTGTTAATTTCTCTGACCAAATCTCGTCGATCTTGGCATATGGTAGAGGGTTTTGGACGAATCCGAATACAAGGATAAGTTAAACACGTTGCTAGAGTCCGGGGTTTACGAAACCTTGCCCAAAGACCCTACAGCTAAGGTGGAGAGGAAAGTACAGAAACTCCTTTCTAAATATAAACCCACTCTTATTGTATTATTGTATCAAACCAATGAACAACAGAATATCAGATCAGCTTAACATGATCAGAGACTGGTAGGATGATATAAACTGAGAATGTCAATACAAGAATTGTGTATGCCAAGATGCCCACACAGAGACCTAGGAAGAAGACTGCAAAAGTGTACAGCATACACCTGATGGGCACAAGACCTTTCTCCATACAACTGATACAACTGTACACAACACAATTCTTTACGATCATCTCCAAAATACCTCCCAGGAGTTTTTCGTAAAAACACCCTGCAACTGGCCAAAAATTAAATTTTTAACACTTACCCATACATCATTCTTATTACTATCTTTCATAGGTTTGCCCCCCCCCCCAAAACAAACCCAAAGCTTCATGTCTGCATTTAGAATATAGAGGTCTGATGACAGCTAATTAAAACCACCAAAACCTGTAACCCATTAATTACCTTCAATTATATATATNCACACAAAAAAAAAAAAAAAAAAAAAAAAAAAAAAAAAAAAAAAGGAAAAACAAACAATAAATCCACCCAATGCAGAGCAGGTATTCCAAATAAAACAGAAAATGATTTTAGACTGACATGCCCTTGATCTCACTGCATTCCATTCTATTCTCCTGCGTGGCATACAATTCCAACAATACTCAATTTACAATTTCTTTATTAACACCGTCAGAATACAACTATATTAAGGTCAGTGCCCAGTTTGGCTCTGCTACATGTTTCGGATATTAAAAGCCATCATCAGGCAACGGTTTTAATAAAAAAATTGTATAACACAACAGGATGCATGAAATGAAAAGAAAAAAAAACTCCAATTTACATGCACTTTTTAGTAAAGTGTACTTACGTCTGAGGCTGTGTGGGATCATCCCCGAGTGTAACCGTGTCCCCTGGGATGTCGTTGAAACATTTCTGACAGAAGGTATATCTGTCGGAGAGAAGGCCCAGTGTCTTTAGGCTGCAATTATCGTCGTTTCCAATTCCCAAATCACCAGGAAGCCAAGGTTTGAGGGGCAGCCACATTCACAAAACACAACCAGTGCACCAGGCAAGCACAGGGGAGAAAACGAGTGCAGCAGAAAATGTGTAAAAAAAACACAAGAGAGAGAAAATGAAAAGGTAAGAGGAAGGGAAAGAACTCATAAAAGCAATATAAATTAAGCAAGCAAACAAGCAAGCAAACATGATCACTGTTTGGAGGAATAAATATCAGGTGGTTATGGTTGTTAGCTGCCAACAGGCTACTGAAACATTTCTAATAACCCTTTCTTACCAAAATTAGATTCTCATTTACAAATATCTTTCCATTTTATGTGGCAACTACGCTCTTATACTAATCACCATACGAGTTGAACGATGGCAGTTGTGCCACACCACTGACTGACACAAGCTGAAATAATCAGCATCGATTTGTGTTTGCTATTCACTGCTGTTACCTTGAAGACGTCCATATTGTTAAGTTCTGCAATGTAAATCCTATTTACCCCTTGATTTCCACGTCACACAAAGAGAGATGCATTCCTACAGGAATTATAGTCAACTGTAATAAAAAAGCATGCTTCTTTTATCCATCACAGATAAAAATAAGCTACATATACATACAAAAAAAAACACACACTTCCCTTTGGTTCACATCGTTATTGTTTCATATTCTGTATCAAAAATTTAATATTCATCCCAAGTTTGTTTAAGTGCAATCTATGGTTCATATGAATTTTATGGTCATGATTTAGCCAAATATCCATTGTGCGCACTGCGCCAAGAATGGATGAAAGTTTTTTTTTCATTACAATCTACAACATAACTGAGAGAATACATCCCAAAAGGGCCAAGCCATTGCTCAAGCGGTTAGTCGCTGGCTTCCCACCGTGGTGGCCCGAGTTTGATCCCAGGTCTGGTCAAGTGGGATTTGTGGTGGACAAAGTGGCGCTGGGGCAGGTTTTCTCTGAGTACTTCAGTTTCCCCTGCCAATCTTCATTCCACCAATTGCTCCACAATCACTCTCACCTATCATCTGGGGCTGGTACAATAGGCCAGAAGAGGCCTCAGTACAAGGGACTTAGTCCCACCCCACTAGCAATAAAAAAAATCCCCAAAAGACTGCCGTCTTAATTAGTCTCTGTCAACAGTCACATATTTCGTCTTCTTTCCGAGCTACTTCAGTGGTGTTTAATTAATGAAAATTATATTTTTCCTAAACAAAACACAACACAGAAAGGGTTAACAGAAATGCAGTCATACAAATAGCCAGTGTTTCAGCTTAATATGTCAAAAGCAAAGTGTTTATTTTTAGTATATTAGTAATATACAACTAAAAGCATATGTATTTATATTTCTTCAGACATCTTCCTTTCCATAATTACTTCATTTTTAATAAGAGAAAGAAAAATCCAAATACATAAACATTCTGATCTCTCTAAACCTACATCTTTGAAGCCAGCCTGTAAAAACCATCATATATGCAACAGATATAAAGGAACAAATAGTCTACAATTACTGAAACAAAGCTTTCCAAAGAATCATTTTGAGCGTCAGACTTAAGGTTCTCATGGTGGTATTAATATTATTACTTTCTCAGATGTGACATAACGTNAATTTATTTGTCGCGATATACCCCGCGATACGCGACAATATTATTACTTTCTCAGATGTGACATAACGCTGTTTGGTAGAGATGTAGTAATGATTTGCATGAACCTAGTGTCTGAGGTTTGATGACGGATATAACAGGTTTCTCCGTAATGTTGGTCCCTACATACCAGCTACATGATGTAACAACCCACAAGACTTCCGTCTTGAATGATTTCATTACTTCCCCTACAATCATATCCTTAGACAAGAACTATATTATTGTGTATTCGCTTAGTGGGGGGTGAAGTCCAGCTGGGTCCACTCAGCACGGCGGACACTGATTGGCCTGTTGTGCCTGCCCCGGGTGATTATGATGGTGGAGAATTTGGTGGAACGAAAATTGGCAGGGGAAACTGAAGTACTCGTAGAAAACCTGCCCCAGCGCCACTTTGTCCACCACAAATCCTACTTGACCAGACCCGGAATCGAACCCAAGCCGCCACGATGGGAAGCCAGTGACTAACCACTTGAGCTATGGCATGGCCATATTATTGTGTAACTATATGGATGTTCAATATACACATTATACCTTGGGAGAGAAACAAATCTCTCTCTTACTGCTACTAAACAAGGGCAAAGCAACTCTTCATTCACACACTATACTGCCACTCATAACGCAACCAGTTTATCATCTCCCTCTTCTTCTCACTGTATGTTTCAGCCTCATACAGCCATTATCAGGCGTCCCTATTTGCTACTCAAGGTACGCGGGTTCAAACCCGGCGGAAGTCAAGGAATTTGTAAGGGCGGAAAAATTCAGGGAACAAGTCCTCCAGGAGGGACTTTAAGCCGTTTTTCACGTGTCGTAGATTTACGGCACATAAAAGATCCTCATGTCTCTAGGAGACCTCTGAGCAAAATTAGGCAAGTTTCCCGCCCAAGTAGTTTCCAATTCCTCCGGTAGATGGGGCCGTATCAGGCACCACTGCCAGAGAGGGCCGACCTCGCTGGCAGAACGGGACTGATAGCAAGCACGAGTACTGGAAGGGCATGGCGACTAAGTTAGAATAATTAAATGGGGACACACAATAGACCAACAAATGGTCGCAGTGCATATAATAATAATATTTGCTAAGACTGTTTCAATGTGTAGCATGTGCAACTTCACCTATCAGATGTGAATGTGTTATCTCCCACTTAAAATAAATGTACTCTATTAAGAATCACTAAAAATCATTACAAATCAAATAAAGCCTTGTTAAAATAAAAATAAAAAAATATATTTTTTTTGCTTGCAGGCTGTTGTCTTTTTATCCAATTATCATTGTGTTTTGATGCGTTTTGCGGGGCATGGGTGGTGTGTATATGTAGTTCCCAATCATGAGTGTGCAACTTATCATCTATGCCCCTTTGACTGTGTTCCTTGCCCTGCCTGTTAGTAGTCAATGGGGCATACTAGAGAACCGCACCAACACGACTGGGAACTACACGTATACAATACCCATGCTGCCCAAAAATGAATTGAAAACACATTTCAAGATAAAATGTAAAAAAGATGGTCAACGACACTGCATATATGTTGGTTTCTACAGCTGCAGTAAATGAAAACCAGACATTTGAAATTCTGCACTGGATAACAGTATATGTCTGTATTGTATCCAATACACCAATTTAAAGGCCAAACTTGAAGCGAAAATGTGAATTTCTGGAGTTCTGACAATTCTTTTGACCTTACATCGGAACAGCGCAACCTCTGCTCCTGTGCAGGAAGGGTAAGCAGTGTGTTAAGCAATTAAAATTCCTGCCTCCTGGAAAAGATAAGGATCCTGACATGCACATGAATATGAGGAGGATGCTTGTCCTAAAGCTTCCACCAGTCATAAATACATATGAAAATTCTCCAAAACAAAACCACACTTCACCTTGGTTCTTATTTTTTACAGGTATACTATTTACACATAAAAATGTATGAGGAACGCAGGCTTACATATAGAAAAGCAAGGAATGTTACGTTATATTATAAAGCAGGTTCAAGAAATAACACTGTTTTAAAATGGTAATTAAACTAAAACTATGTAAATAAAAACAGCCTTGCAAAACTTCTTGCTGTTACATGATTCTAAGTCTATTAACACACCATTCAAGTTTACATTCAAATTACTGATTTATATTAAATGCCTGAAAACACATTTTCAGATCATTCAGTTATTTCTACAATGCAATCATCTCAGAGCTTCCCAAAAACTGAGTCACTCAAGTGGATGAAACAACGATTCCTCCTGTCTTGTCGGGCCACACAGGTGCAGACTGCTAGTGTAATCCGTAACCTATAGCCCAATAAACATGATTTAGTCAAATTACAGAAGATGCCAGATGTTTTGCACATATTCCTGAAGTTTTTTTTTTGTTGAAATAGACCTATAGACCTTGAAGCTTAAACTTTGGCCTCTTGTGCAAGATGTTCTAGAATTTTCAACAATGTTCAAGCTTAGCACCAATTTCTCTTAAGTGTGCGTTTCATTTCTGTTCACCTTTTCTTGGGATGAATTGGTGTTAGAATTGAGCATTCTCCTGAAAATATACAACATCTGCTGTGATGTGGTCTGTCAGTTCCACGAGCAGTCTGATTATCAGTAGCTAAACTACCTGGGAGGAATGTCTAACATTTTGACCTGTGAGGCTCCACAATCTGTGGGAAACCCAGAGATGATTTTGCTATATATTTTATTTGTTTTTATACAAAAATCCATTGCAAACTGTAGCACCTCAGCTAGCAGTAACTGCCTTAACTCTCCATAACATGAGGCCACTTACAAGCTGAATTATCAGTGAAGGAAGAGATGGCTTCTGTTAAATTTAACATTAAAGCTAACACCTATCTATAACATCACAATTATTTTAAAGCAAATTAAAATCCCTGTCGGCAGGCAATTAAAATTTCCTTAAACTTCTTAGTTTTAAATCACTGCAAAATACATTTGAGATATTTCCTGCCTTTTCTTTGCATAAAGACAATAAAGTGGGTGTATCAAGAGGAGATTGTCTATGTCAGGAAAATATACAATAAATTATTTAACATATTTTCATAAAATTTGGTATTGGGGTCCTACAATAAGATCTTCCTGGGAGACGGAACTTTATTGCTCACGTGCATTCACACAGACAAAACTGGTAAAATCAAGATACACAACTTTTATTTGAAAATTATTCAACATGGTGAATATTTAACCTTTAACGATACCGGACGGTACCTGTGACCTCGAAGATGCCGAAAGTCCAGTATACTGGACGCAAGACACGTGCTCACTTTAGAAGTGCTGCCGGTTAGACGTTGAGTTTGAAACCAAAACAAACACACGCAAGTTCAAGTCAGAGGTCCAATTGTTGGCTCTGAACAATAAAACCCTTCATCATGGCACTGGGTTCGATTTCGTTTACATGTAGGTAAGACTGTTTGTGACTTGGTCAGCCAAACAGAGTGGAAGCTTCTTCACAGAACAGCTGACCCAACATTCCTCTGTGCGGGCAGATCACTGCTTCTGTAGCTCTCAAGGAAGTGTGACGTGTTTAGTGAGTGTCTGAATTATCAGCTTGTGAGTCAGTGGCGGACTGTTTCTCTGGGGAAGCCAAGATTTTTCATTGAGTCATCTGGAACTGAACATTGACAACACTGTCCGGCCAGCCAGATAGAAACAATAACTTCCTGTTTGTTCGCTAAGCGAGAGACTGAACCAGATTGTCTACCAGCGTATGAGAAGTGAGGTCTGTGTGACCTTCACATCGCGCTGAAGCAAACTCTGCCTCTCCGCGCTCCCGCACGCAGTATCTACAGTAGCGTAAACTTACACGACGCAACGAGTTCAAACTCGTGTACAGTCTGACCAAACATTTTGGTGTATAGTGTCAATGTATTTTGGATATAACGACGTCTCAAATTTGAAGAAAAAATTATGGGTAAGACTTTTGGAATTTCATTACAAATATAAAAGAGATTATATTTTGAATTTCATGACATAACAATCACAGTTAATTTTTATTTGTAAAAATTGCCTTAGGTATATTGTAGGAAATTTCATTCTCTTTCAGGCGGTTTTTAGTTCGTAATTCTAAGCTGCATAGAACGGAAAATATGTAGTTTTTTCTGAAAGTCTATAATATTAAAAGGGCAACGTCAAATTAACTCCGGCAGCAGCGCAGTCGTGAGGGGTTTAAATGCCGACTCTTAAAGGTTAATTAAGCAGAAGGAAAAATATTTTCCGATTTACTGATTTAACTAAGCTTGAAAAAATATTCGTATCAGCAATAAATGATATTAGACCCAATAGCGCATACAAAATTGCAAACAACATATTAAAAAGATGTGTAATCCGCATGTGACTTCAGGAATCTTTATAAAAATCCATAAAAACATGAAGTAGATCTCAGTAGTAGGTTACATCCGATATTAATTTGGTGCCTGCTAGTACAAAACTGTGCCATCTCTATGGTAGTGAAACAGAGGTCAGATTACTTATATATATAAAAAAAGGGAAAGAAACATACTCTGAATTCTTTTAACTCTTGTTGAAGTCATATCTTAAAAAGACATGTTATGTCAACAAAACAAAGGGTACCTAATAGTTCTAAAAAGACGCAAAAGACTAATGTAATTCCAATCTGATCTACTGAGTTCTGGTAGCAAACCTGACCTGTTTTGGAAACTGTAGTACTTGGCATCTCTTGGAATAGTGCACAACTGTTTCCCGTAGCAACACAACACTTGAGGATTGAATGTGTACTTGCGGCCACAGCAGTAACCCAATGACTGCATTACAGGATCAATCTCCTGTTCAAAAACTTCGGACAGCTATCCATGTAAACAAAATAGAGAGAGAGAGAGAAGCATTACAAAACAGCAAGAAACAAAACACTGTATTTTCCAGCAGTATGACAACTACGGGAATGTATTCGACAAACATGTAAGTCATCCAGATTGTCAAGCAGCAGGGCATACATCACATATTCTGCCCACAAACGATGTGCCAGACACAGGACTAGCTAAAACCCCTTAATGGGGGCCTCTCCAGAGGACAAACCTCAACCCACCTATGGACCCTGTCTAGGCACACCCTCCCTGATGCTATTTCTTCCTTCCCATCCCTACAGAAGCCTACTGTCGCCTCATGGTGATTTTTCTATCACACTTTAAGCCACTAAACCCACAGCAGAATTTAAGCAGCATTTCAGGTGGTACTTACAAGACACCAATTCCCACTCTATCCCACATATAATCCTTATCCGGTGATGACAAGCTGGACACACATACAAGTGCACAGAAGTAACACTGCCTTTGGCATCATACTTGCTTGATTCTCAAATGAGCTACTGTATGTGTTTTATTTCACAGTAATTTCGTTACTATCAGGAGAAATACTTATAAAGAGAAATTATTTTACCATATTTATAAACAGTAAGTCTTAAAACATGATGAGCAGCTTCTTGGTGCAAATTTACATAACCTCCATTTAGTTAATGTCCCAATTCAGTGTAAGCTAACCAATTTCAGCAGTGTATCATTAAACAGGGATTTCAGCAGCTACTTCAGAACACATTTCTAAAAGTGTGTAAAAGTAACACGCCGTGAAGGCCCATAGGGTTGTGAGACGTTGAGGGTCCCACATTATGTTGACAATCGGCTCAAAGATGGCGGCAAGGTTGTCAGCCTTACGCACCNATACAGTGCGTACAATCAAGTGCGCGCCGCGGCTGCAATTTGCCGTGAGGAGTTGTAACTCCTCCCCGCGACTGCATCCGTTCTGCGGTGGTATGATTCACGGCAAATTGCAGCCGCGGCGCGCACTTGATTGTACGCACTGTAGAACCTTAACCACTACGCTACCGCGTACCCCTTCTAAAAGTGTGTATGAATAAATAAAGTACATACTAATCTCTACAACATTAAATGCTAGCTCCACTTACCTTGGTACAATATCTATACACTCGTGAGGTTTTGCGGTTGTAGAGCCAGGCATTATCAAACATAAGCCAGACATCATCGACATATTCCCAAGGATCAGAATACTGGCCTGTGTCTAGTTTCCGTTTCACCGTTGAAAGATCCATCGCTTTTTTCACAATGTCAAAATAGTCTGGGATACCAAGTGCTTGGGGATCAACAGGCTGCCGGAAGGGAAGAGACTCAGGATCTTGACGATACAATTTCTCGAGCGTAGGCATTAAGGCCTGCCGCAGCTCATCTGGTTTGAACACTGTCAACAGGCAAAGAAAATGAATGCTCTATATATACAGTCCACTCAAAGCAAGGTCATGAAAATTATGTGGTGCATGTTATGATAAAGACAGAGCACAATCATCATTGGAATGTTTTCATGTTTACAACATTCAGTATCATTTCTAATGTTCATGCCTCCCTCCCAATTGCAATCAAGAACACACTGCTGCTATACAGGCACACATTTCAGTACTTGAAAATTAACTTGTCTGCAAAGTACTGTAGTGAGCATTTACGCATTTTTATTAAACTTATTCTTTATAAGGCGGCGGCACCATAGCTCAGTTAGTCGCTGGCTTCCCACCATGGTGGCCCGGCTTCGATCCCGGGTCTGGTCAAGTGGGATTTGTGGTGGACAAAGTGGCGATGGGGAAGGTTTTCTCTGAGTACTTCGGTTTCCCCTGACAATCTTCATTCCACCAATTGCTCCACAATCACCCTCACCTATCATCTGGGGCTGGTACAATGGGCCAGAAGTGGCCACAGTACAAGGGACTTAGTCCCACCCCGCGAGTAATAAAAAAATTCTTTATAAAGCCCTAATTAAGTCAATAACAGTTTACGCCTGTGCTACCTGGGAGTATGCGGTAGATGCTGGCCTCCTGAAACTGCAGTGCCTGCAGAACTGAGTTCTCCACGCTACTGGCACCCCTGACAGGCACATCGGTTCATGAAAAGCATGTGGTTTTCAAAATTCAATGTGTTTGATCAGATAAATAAATACATTAAGCAGGGAACAGGCAGAAGTTGCCCATCGACGTCAAAATCCAAATGTGTGCACAACTTGACATGGAGTAACCACACATAGGAAGTACTCACGTAAGAGAGTTAAAACTTGGCAGTGGTCAGACCTACGACCATTCAGGTAACTAACTGCTAACTGCTACTTCAGAATGGTAAAATAGTTTAAGACATAATCTGTTACATAAGCCTGCATCAACCTAAGCCCTGTGTATATCTTGTAAAAATGTTATTCATTACAGTAAAGTAACAAACAGCCGGTCACGGTAGCCAAGTGGTCTAAGGCATGCACTGTCTTCGCTTGCTCGGAAGCTGAGATCGTGGGTTCAAATCCCACTCAGGGCATGAATGTTTGTGTGCGTTTTTCTGTGTTTGTCTACACGTAGAGGCCTTGTGATGATCTGATCAATCGCCCAAGGAGTCCTACCATATGAGTAAGATCTAGAAAAACCGAAGTGAACGGAGAAGTTCATGGAGGTAGGCCTAGGCCCACTGGGACTGCAGTGCCAGGAAAAAAAAAAGTAACAAACAGTGTACGATATCCTCGAGTATAACTGAACAACTACCACAGTATTGAGAAAAATATAGTGTGTGCAATAATAATCTGCAGCATCGAGCCAAGTCCCCCATCGTGTTAGAATAGGCTTAGGGGGAAGGTGTAGTGATGGAGCCTTTTCTTTAAACTTCTGCAATCAAAGTGGAGCCTTAACAAAAATTTTCTTCCCATTTGCTATTTATCTATCTACATCAAAGTAGCTCTCTCACACCTCTTCTGCTACCCTATGCAGAGCATGTGCGAGACACGTTGCATGAATCATTTTGGGATACAGTACCTGAAGTCCCTTTGCTGCCTTTACCATATATGGAGCAGCATCCGTTAAGAAGAGGAGCACATTCTCTCGTTCTACCTTATTTGGCCACAGCAAATTCACCGCATTGTCGAAAACAACAGCAATGGAAGAATTATTCACTTTTTCCAACACCTCACATGCCAATAGGAATATATCTCGAGACTGGTCATCTTTCAGTATACCAACAACATTCACTATAAATCTACCACTTATGTCGGTAGTTTCGTCGATAGACACCCATATTTTATTATTTCTGACACAGTTTCTTATTTTATTGATGGTAAAATCGTAGCAGGAAGTGAGATAGTTCTTTCTTAATGTGGATTCGGTCGGAATGGGATGAGTTGTATATTTTTCGAGGAAGTTTCGGAGACTAGGTGTATCTACTTTTGTAATGGAATATTTTATGAAACCATCATAGTACAAAGATTCTTTGAAAACTCGGAGGCATTTCCTGATTTCGGTGAACTGGAGGATGACTTTTCAAAAGACAATCGCTGTCTACTTTCCATGGTAATTTCTCTCTTTACGCAGCTTCTATGTTTAGCTGTATTGCAGTGTTGTTGCACCGTAAAACGTTTGTCTGCCGTAACTTTCACTTCACACATTTTGCAAAATAAAATTTCTCCGTCAGTACTAAAATATTTGTCACCAAACTCTTTAATAAAACCACGCAACTTCACGCTGTTAGAGCGCTTGACTTTAGGCATCTTGAAAGTATACTGAACAACTGAAGTTATGAATACAGTACTGTATTGGACGGGTTTCGGGGAGAGGGTAGAAATTTACCGCTTTGTGGATGGAAAAATTTTTCACCAATATGCAAGAAACAAACTGGACTTCAGGTATCACTGCAGTGGAGGAGAAAAAAGACACAGACAGACAGACAGACAGACAGAGGCAGAGGTGGCAATTTCTCTTTTCAAAGTGGTTGATTCTACGCCAGGTCAAGAACCGTTACCCTTCACACTGTACAGTATTCCTTCAAATCCCGTTACACAAGGCCAAATATTTCTAAGAAATGAAGTTCCAAATAACATCGTTACCAATACTTGCAAATATATTTCTGAGCAATAACTGAAACTCGCCTAAAATATGACGAAAAATATGATTCTATACCACTTCGGGCCCAAATATGGCCTAAAGCTAAAATATGGTTCAAATATGCATTTATATGACCAATAAAAACCGTATTTTCATGTTCACAAGAGTCAGAAATGCATTTATATTTAATTATACATGTGAAAAGATGCCAGGATAAAAATATGACATGTCATAGAAATCCGAGCCCTAATAATCACTTTAAACGCACCTAATAGAAAACACCATTTAGAAGAATTCTCCTATTGCTGTAGTGTTTTTACAAAGTCGTTGCTTAGAAACGGGCACCATTACCCCATTGTTCTATTGTTGCATGCGTCTATGTTGTGCCCGTTACCTAGCAACGGCTGCTGAACTAATAGCTCCATCTTCTCGCCTCCCTTGCAGAACAAAACTCTCAACTAATTGCTCACTTGAAACTCAGAAACTCAACTGCCTAGTCTCAACTGAAATCTTATTTATAACCACTTTGCATGGACCGAACAGAAAACACCATTTACATTTCCCCTATTCTTGTAGGAGGATTTATCAATCCACTGCTTACAAATGGGCTGCATAACCCAGTTGTTCTATTGTTGCATACGTGTATGTTGCGGCCGTTACCTAGCAACGGCTGCTGTTTACAGAGGCACCACTTAGCAAACAGATCAGTCTTACAAACATCTCATTCTATCATAGTGGTCACACAGCAATTTTTGAATATATTTCTTAATTAACTATTCAAGAGTTTACTATTAATATTTTGTTAACATTCCACACCTGAACTCATAGAGCCATACTCTCAGCCTCCCTTTCACAGCCCAACTCTTAACTGCTCACTTGAAACTAGGGAAATTTACTGCCTAGTCTTAATTCAATTCTTCACAACCACTTTGCACTACCTAATAGAATACACCATTTAGAACAATTCCCTATTGTTGTGGGAGTCTTTACAAAGCTGTTGCTTAGAAAATGGCCAAATAATCCCCTTGTTCCACTGCTGCATGCATCTATGTTGTGCCCGTTACCTAGCAACGGCTGCTGAACTAATAGCACCATCTTTTCGCCTCCCTTGCAGAGTAAGAATTCAACTAACAGCTAACTTCAAACTCTAGAATGCGACTGCCTACTATCCATTGAAATCTTCTTTATAACCACTTTGCATCGACTGAATATGAACAACCATTTACAACAATACCCCTATTTTTGTTGGAGTGTTTATCAATCGTTGCTTAGAAATGGGCCGCATAAAGCCGTTGTTCCATTGCTGCACGTCTGTTTTTTGCGCCCTTCACCTAGCAACGGCTGCCGTTTACAGGGTCAGAGCTTAGAAAACAGGTCTATAAGTCATACGCTTTGTAGCACAGTCTATAAATATCTTATTTCATCATAGCGATCTGCCCGCAATTTTTCTAATATATCTCTTAAATTAACTCTTTTTGTGGGGTACCATCTATGACAAGAGGACAGGTCTGTAATTTGTACATGCAGCTTGCCCTTGCCAGCGCAGTCTTTCTTGGGTCCAAGTCCCTTGGGACTCATGACCATATTTTACCGTCTCAGATTTCAGACTTCCCTTTTCGTTGCAGGGTCACAGTGGATGTATTTGGCCCCACCACCATATGGGTTTAGTCTCAAGTCAAATTTAACTGTTCTTTATAATCACTCTGCATGGATCTAATAGAAAACACTGTTTACAATACCCCTATTGTTGTGGAAGTGTTTACAAATCTGTTAATTTTTTTTTATTGCTAGTGGGGTGGGGCTAAGTCCCTTGTACTGTGGCCACTTCTGGCCTATTGTACCAGCACCAGATGAGGGTGATTGTGGAGCAATTGGTGGAATGAGATTGGCAGGGGAAACTGAAGTACTCTGAGAAAACATGCCCCAGCGCCACTTTGTCCACCACAAATCCCACTTGACCAGACCCGGGATCGAACCCAGGCCGGAACGGTGGGAAGCCAGCAACTAACCGCTTGAGCTATGACATGGCCCAATCCCTTACTTAGAAACCCCATTGTTTCTACTGGATTTTTGTCTTATATATACCAGACGATGGATAGAGTCCAAAATAAACCTTATAGTTCTATATCCAAACATGCTTTGGTACGTGAGAATGCCTCACTCAACACTCCAGTCATATGCTGTGGCCATTCCAAAAATTAAATTGTTGCACCTTGTATTTTTCAAGAAAGAGAATTCTGTCAATTTCAGGTTTCAGTGATATGATATCAAGTGAAAGGTTTGAACTAATAATGAAATTCTTACATTTTGCAGACAACATTAACAAAGCAAATTATGAAGACCTTGAAGAACTTTACAAAACAGTTCCTGTTTTACTGCACCTGAACTACAAATTTCAGAACTTGTTCCTTCCCAGACAGAACATTTCAATGGACGAATCCTTTACGTTACGGAAGGGATGCTAGTCTTTCAAACAGCATTTACCACTAAAAGCCACTAAATTTGGCATGAACACTTATGAATTATGTGAATCCAATTCTGGATATTTATGATCTCTTGCGTTACACACATATAAAAATACCTATTTTCAGTCATCTCTTGTAATACAGGAGACAATAGTGACACAGAGAGGAGGGAGAGAAACCTGTTTGTGTAATTCACTGTAAGTGGATGGGTAGCATGGACTTCAAGAGCCAGCTGCTTAAAATGTACCTTGTAGAAAGGAAGCTATCACAAATGGTATATGAAGCTATTCAGAAGACTTCTGAATGCCACAGTGCTGAATGCAATGATAATTTATAAGCATAACACTGGAAAGCATATAGATCAAATGGCAATCAGTGTCAACTTGGTGGAGGCACTCTTCGAACAGTTCACCGTTACTGAACACAAATTACCAGATTGTCAGGCGACACAAAAATCATTCTCCAATTGAGGGAAAGACATTTCATCGCAAAGTCAACACAACAGAGGAGGTGCGTGGTATGCACCGAAACACGAATGGAGGAAAGATAAAGGTTTTGCAGTGTACAGTGTAGGCTCTCACTGGAGAAATGTTTGAAGCCTATCACACAAAACTTAATTTCTAATGGAATTATTTTTATACACTTGCATGATTAATTAAAAGTAGAATATTTAAAACCAAAGTTATATTTTATACATAGCACAGTTTTCATTTTTCAGTTTTAAACTCTGTATTTCATAGATTCGATGTAGTTGATTGAGGCACTATGGTACAAACTGGAAGGTCGCGGGTTCAAGTCCTGATGAGGTCATTGGATTTTTTTTTCAATTGACCTAATCCTTCCGGCCGCATTATGGCCCTGGGGTCAACTCAGCCTCTAAAAGAAATGAGTACCAGGAATTATTTAAATAATTTTCCTGGGGAGTAAAGTGCAGCTGGCGCGTAAGGCTGACAACCTTACCCCCACCTTTGAGCCGACTGTCTAGATAATGTGGGACCCTCAATGTCTCACAACCTTATGGGCCTTCACGGTCCGTTACACGGATAGCTTTACTTTTGCTTTTTTTTTTAAGTATTTCATAGATTTTACATCGTTTAAAAAATAATAGCGTTTTAGAGACAAGAATACTAGAATATCCTTATGCTCTATGTATAATCCAAATATACACTACTTTTTATATAAGGTTAATTTTCCACTTTTAATTTCCAATTTTCTTTGCTTTCACAGCAATTTTAGTAAAAGATGCACATTTTGGCCTCCGTTCGCACTGTAAGGTTCACTTAGTAGGGGTGGGGGGTGGATTCCAACTAGGTCCACTCGGCACGGTGGCCACTGATTGACCTATTGTAGCCTGCCCCGGGTGATTATGATGATGGAAAATTTGGTGGAATGAAGATTGGCAGGGGAAACCGAAGTACTCTGAGAAAACCTGCCCCAGCGTCACTTTGTCCACCACAAATCAAACTTGACCAGACCCAGGATCGAACCCGGGTCACCACGGTGGGAAGCCAGCAACTAACCACTTGAGCTATGGCGCAGCCAACACTGTAAGGTTGCCTTTAAATGCTTTATGTGGCAGCACAGACTGGTACAAGATGTCAGATATATTTTGTGTGTGCGCACACATGCGTGGGAGTGTGCATGTGTTCTACTATGTGAATATTTCTGGGTCAATGCACTGATGTTATGATTTAGCAATGAGGGGATGGACAACTAATGTCAAGATCATAAGAGGCTAATGATGGAGAGATAATATGTAATTGCTACAAAAAAAAAAGAAAATGTTACAGTATGCTTGCACGTACTGTGTTTTGCAGTAGTTTACAAGTTACGTCACTCTTTCTCAATTTATCATGGAGTGGTATCCCACAGGATCTCATGTAGACATGTTTTCAGACCAGAAAGTAAGGGCTACACAAGCAAGGACACTGTTACCCCTCCATCCACTGTTCCCAGCAGTCCAACCCCCTTCCACTTCATGCCATTCCTCTGTCAGGCAAACTTCTGAGCAGGCATCAGCCACAAGTTCTTTGATGATTTCTAACACTCTAGGGTCGAAAACTTGAAACCCTCTAATTACATTTATTAGATATAACCACATCACATGTAACTTACAGCACTTTTTCTTTTTATCACCTCCTGCAGCAGATTGGATGGGTTCCGGAATGGGTGGTTTTACATCTGCACTAGTACTGACTCCTTCACCTATACTGGATGTTGACATTGGAGTCATAGGCTCTTCCTTTATGATCGTTTCCTCTGTAAGAGTGAATACGACAGTTATTAAATTTTAAAATAATAAATACTACTGAAAACAGCAATATGAGCAAAAGTGAAAATGAGAATATTGTCACATGTATGTGAGACTACATATGGGGTATGGATTGGTGAATAGATTTACTGACCACTTACAAGTCGTGATTACAACTAACTCGTATTAATATAACTGCTGATTTCCACACTATAAATCACCCCACGCTAAGTCTTCTCAGTCTGCTTTCACTTGTAGTTACTTGGCAATAGCTCTCAACAATGGATATTCCTCTGCAATGTTTTCACTGGACGTTTTCTAGTAATGAATCTCAACACTGCTGCCCACTGGTTAACACTCCACATATATACCCACTACTTCACTTCACTTCACTTCACTTCACTTCGCCTCACTCAACTGAACTGCTGACTACTGCCTGCAGCTTGGCTGGTGTCCTCATTACTTAACCGCAGGATAGACCCTACAGAAAACACCGCCTACGATGATTCTTCTATTGCTGCCATGGGTGGTTTACCTAGCAAGAGACAATACTGTTTCCATGGGAACATGTTTACTGAGCTGTTACACGTTCCTTTTTGTGATTGCTGCATAGCAACGGTACTACACATTACATTGCTCCCTCCTTAAGGCTATTCATTTCGAACGACCTACAGGCATACCCTCATTTATTATCTGAGAGCTGTGCTTGGTTTCGCCTTCCTTCCTCTGGCTTGGTTTCTTTTGTGTTTTTCTCCAACCACTCCTGCTGCTCCCTCCTTAAGGCCGCACATCCCAAGTGGCTACCTTCTAAGGTGTGAGCCGGTCCAGGTGTATCACTATCATCTTCCTTCAGTTGGTGCAGCCAAAACTTCTGAGAATGGATAATGCTCACACATACATGGTTCTTAAATGTGTGGTTAGTGGTCTCTCCTTTGATTTTGGAGTGAGTCAATCCCTCCACATTGTCCAGTGACTTATTTTTTTGAATCCCAACTGAAGGCTCAACTCTGCTTCATGATCTCCAGCACAAGAGCCTTCCTATAGATGCCTCCAGATGTCCTCTCACTTCCAAGATGTAGCTGCCCTTTTAAATCTTTGATTCCTCAATCTGTTCCGGTTTCAGACATCCCTTCCTGAGCATCCGTCCCTTAAGGGTTCCTCTTGCAACAATGTCCCTGCCTGGTCCCTGACCAATGTGTTCCTGACACCACACAGGAACGGCACAGGTCATCCCTCTGAAAGCAGCAAGTAATTTCTTCTGGAACCCATCACTGCCCTGGATCCGTTTCCTCAGCTTACCACTGCACCCTACGGCCAGATGCCAGTCCCCATGGTGCTTATTCAGTACTCCAGAAGATTCCACTGCAGCCTCTTTCTTCAGGACCTCTTATTGCTCCATCTCAGACTCTATCTCCAATGAGGTTGACTTCATACCTTCCAGACAGGCCTCTGTCACTTCTTGGCAGGCTGTAGTTTCTTTTCGCCATGTCCTCATTTCTACCACCCAGGGGGATCTATCTTGGCATCCATCCTTTTTTGGCTGGCTTCAATTTTGGCCAGAATTTCTTCTTTCAGGTGCTGATGGATGGGTCTCAGCTCTTCTCTCATTTCCCACAGATTGGCTTTCATTTCTGCTTGGCTTGGTTAGTTTTTATTTCCTCTTGGTTGGTTCTTATTCCAGCCAAGAAGCATACCATCATTTTTCCATTTTTTTTTGTGTGTGTGAGTGGCAGTATAACAATGAAGATTCAATGCAGTTTCTAATCCAACCATTTCTGACATCAGCCGTCATGTATTTATGAGTATGACTATCAACAGGGTTTGGATTGGATATTGATTTATTGACCAATTATACAAGCACTTGGCAGCACAAGTACATACAGCACTATCACCGACTTCCACACTTTACAAATCACTAGCACCCACTAAGTCTTCTGTCTTCGCTAGCCGTATCCTGGCAACGGATTTTATTTAACACAGCAATTATAACAGTCTCACTGTAATTACAGCATGCACAAAGTCTTCTCTTCACAGCTGGACTTCAAACTGACCACAAACAACCAACTACTCGTAAAAGCATGCTAACATTTGACACGCTGTAATATATAAATGGCATGTTTCTCAAATGGTTCAAATTATATGTCCTCCAGATGACAGAGGCAGACAAAACATTCGTGCATGTGCTGGTAGTCTCCAGTGCCAACTAGTGATGTATGATCGAACTATGACTGCAGAAACACAAAACAAACTTTGTTGATAATATGCTGACATCTGTCCATGGAAGCACTGCCACCACGTAGATTATATATAGACATTTGACTGGAAAGGGTTAAAAGTCTGTCATAATAAAATGTTGGCTACAAGCAGAATTCTGTTATTATTATTATTATTATTATTAGAGGGGGTGGGTTTCCCCATGCACTTAGACCAGTTATTGGTCCATTGTGCGCCCCCCTTTAATTTCTACCGTCGCCATACCCTACCGGTACTGGTGCATGCTATCAGCCCCGTTCAACCAACGAGGTCGGCGGTCAGTACCTGATATTCCCCCCATCTACCAGAGGCACTGGAAACTACTTGGGCGGGAAATTGTTGCCTAAT